AAATCTAAAATGATATCATAACGCCATGGGAATGGTGGAGATTAATGATATCCTGAAATATTTAAAGGATACAGAAATAATAGTTCCCATCCCATCTCCATAAACCAGATGAATTAGCAGAGTGATTGTAAATTACCAGCAGTTCAACCAAGTAGCAGCCCCAATTGCTGCTGCCATGCCAAGCATAATGTCATTGCTAACACAGGGTAATATGGCCATTTATTTCAAGAATGCAATCTTTTCTATCCCAATCAAGAAAGACAGTTAGAAATGGTCCACATGAAATAGATCACAATATGCATTGATACTTTCACTTCAGGGCTATGTTAACTTTCTGTTTCTCTCCTAATATAATCCAAAGAGATCTGAATCAAGTTGAAAATCTGTGGAGTATCATACTGATACTTTGTATCAATGGCATCATACTGATGAAACAGGTTGAGCAAGAGGTAGCTAGCTTGCTAGAGATTCCTGCTTCAGAGTGGGAAATCAACCCTACGTAGAATCCGGAACCTGTCTCTTCATCAAAGGTTTTAAGGGACCAGTATTCAGGACACACTAGAGCATCTCCTTTAAAGTAAAAAACAATTTTCTGCCTCTTGCATCCCCTACAGCAGGGGTCCCCAACCCTGGCGCCATAGACCAGTACCAGTCCGTGACCTGTTAGGAACTGGCCACACAGTAAGTGGGTATGTGATGTGCAAGGGAGTGAAGCTATGTTCGCATTACCACCTGAGCTCCGCCTCCTGTCTACCCTACCTCCCACTCAGTGGAAAAATTGTCTTTCACAAAACCGGTCCCTGCTGCCAAAAAGGCTGAGGACCACTGTTCTACAAGGAAGGAGACAGCACGGTGCATAGGAGGCTGCTTTGGGTTCTGTAAGCAACAGACTCCACACCCAGGAATATTTTCTGGCCCATATACCAGGTGATATACAAAGCTGACAGCTAAACAACTTGGCAAAAGAAAGGCTCTGCAGCAATTTTGACCAGTGGGGTAAGCACCCTTGACACCTGGGCTATAGGATCTGGCAGAGCCTATGATATTACAGTTGTAAGTTTTGGGAAAAAATGCAGCACGGAGTTTATAGAAATCTTAGACAAAAATCCCAGGTCAGGCCCCTGGGGTTCTCGAGCAAGTTTGCATATATTTTAGAAATTAGCTCTTGGCATGCTACAGGTAAAGAAGAAATGTTTGACCATTGGACATTGAGTGACACAAAATGAAATATATCTTGTTGAACCCACCATGTCAGAAATTCTGGGGTCAAGGGAGGGCCAGGTGCAGTTCATCATAAGATGGAAGTATTAGAGGGATGAAAAATAAAGAAGACAAGAGGGTATAATCTACATGAGCAGGTAGTACAGACCTTGGCATCACTATCACAGTTGAATCAAAACTCCTGTCAGCTCACACTGTTGGCCATATCAGATAGGAGTGGTGTCTTGATCAACAGCTGAAGGAAGAAAAAAATGGCCAGGCCTAGTTTACAGATGAATTGGCTAAGTATGTGGATGAAAGCTGAAATTAAATAGCAGCTCCATTACAGCCCCACTCAGGAACAGAATTGGAAGTGGAGGAAAAGGACAATTTCCTACAGGGCAGAGCTTCAGATGGTGTACCTGGTCATCCACTTGTGTGGAAGGAAAAGTGGCCTGATGCTGGAACACAAATAGACTAATAGTTAATCGCAAATAGCCTGGCTGGCCAGTCAGAGGTCTAAAAAGAAGATGTTTATATATTGCAGACAAAGAGGTTTTAAAGGGTTAGAGGCATGGGGATAAATTACATATTGGTGTGAAAGATGTGCAAAAAGCATGAAGACATCTTTATCATATATCAATGTCCACCAGAAAGAATACATGATGGAAGAAGCATTGCACAACTAAGTAGACAAAACTGCTGATCTGGCTGGTGTGAGCCTGTCTTTGCCAGCGGCCATCCCAGGGCCACACAATGCACACTTGAATGAAATGGTCCTGGTAATAAACAGGAAGTCTGAGCATGGGTCCATCGTCATAAAACCGACTTCCCACAGCTGACCAGTCTACTGCCTCATCTGGTAACTCAGCTTGACAATAAATGAGACCAGTATAGAGCTCCTAATATGTCATGATTCCTTCAGAAGATCAAAGAGCCACTTGGTGGCAAGTTAACCACATTGGGACCTTCCCATCCAGAAAGGAGCAGCAGTTTCATTTCATGGAAATAGACTATGTATTTTGGATATGCATTTACATTTCATACCTACCAACCTTCATCCAGCATCACTATCTGGGAACTTACAAAATGCCTGATCCACAGACATAGAATATAATACAATATTTTCAACCAGGAAAAACTTCACAGCAAAGGTTGTGCAGGAGGCTACCTGTGAACATGGGTTCCACTGGTCATATCACATGCTGCATGTCCCAGAAGCTGCTAGCCTAATAGAGCACTGGAATAGCCTGCCAAAGGTGAAGTTTGAGCACCTTCCAGGAGATAATACTCAGCAAGAATGAGGTCCTCTTCCTCAGGATGCAGTAGGCCTTGATGCGGCTGAGTCCCTAATAGGAACATGGGTCTAGTAATCAAGGGACTAAACAAGAATAGCCCAACTTACCATCATCCCCCATGACCTACTGGGGGAGATAATGTTTCCTGTTCCTACAACTCTGAGCTTTGTGGAAGTCCCACTGAACTGAGCTTCATCTGCCTAGCACTTTGGACATCTTGAATTTAGGGACAAGTAGGCAAGGAGTTCACACATTGGCAGGAGATGCTAAGTCTGATCAGGAGGAGGAGGTAGGCTTGATGTTACACAATGAGGGGAAATAAGCCTAAGTGTGGTACTCAGGTGATCCACTTGGGCATCTCTTAGGACGACATTGCCCAATAGTGACTGTAAATGGGCAAGTGCAGCAACGCCTGTCTGAGAAGGAGTTTATTATCAGGGGCTCAAATTTTTCAAGGATTAAGGTTTTCACACAACCAGTTTAATCACTGAGGGCAGCAGAGAGTGAGAGGAATTTAGTATGAATAGTGGAAGTGAGGGGCAATGAGTTTAGTTGTGGCTCAAGACCAGTTGCAGAGATGGGAGCTGTAGTTTGCCCACTAACTTCTCTCCTCTCAGTTTCTCTTCACAAAGAGAGGCCCACTGGAGCCCCAAAGGCACTGTTCCCTGAATGTGTACAGACAGTGGATCTACATGGTACAAAGTATGAACTATGACACAGGGACATGCTGCTTAGATACATCTTCAACAAAAGGCCCTTCTCCATAGTTGTGAGGAGTGTCCTTAGATGACAGCCTGCAACAGTTAACACTTTAAAGTCCACCTCAGGTCTTGAGTTGAGGCTGCATTCTTCTTGGGGTGGCTCCAGTCCATGGCTAATCAAGACCGTGTTACAGGGACCTACCAATTTATTCTGGTGTGGGTCTCTTACCTTTGCTCTATCCAGTTTCCTACTTTCACCTTTTCACATTCTTAACTCTCTCTATTTGTTTCCTAAAGAATCCAAATGACAAACCTAGTGTTTTCCAGCTCTGTTCAGCTCTGTTAGGTTCTACTCAAACTTTCCTATTTCTGTTGATAACCGTTAGAGGTGGTTCTGTGCTTTTTTCAGATATGCCTACAAATGTTTCTCAGATTCATCCCCTGTATCCCCTATTGGTACACTGAAAGCAATTCACTGAAATATTTTAAGGCACCAAAAAGCGCTTTTAACTATAGCCAAATATCTTAAATATGAAAAAGAATGGATAATACTATTACATAATAGGAATTACCTCAAATGCATCAAATGTATCAACTGATTAAATTCTTAAAAGTACTCTGTGGGGTGGGTAGTATTATTCCTATCTAACAGATCAGGAAATGGGCACAACAGTGTGAAATAACGTCCCAAAGTCAATCATCCAAAGTATAGCAATAGAATCATAATTTAAACATAAGCAGTCCAGTTCCAGTGTCTTTTTCCATAATATTATACTCTTCTGCTCCTAGGAAAGGGCTGGTAACACTAGCACACTAAAATTGCAACAACAAAAAAGTGTTTGGAGAAACCAGGCCTGGTTTGTAAAGGGTTGGGGAACATAAAGATACAATGTAAAGATACATCGTCCCTACATGCCAAAAAATTGTGGGTTCAATCCCCAGTAAGGGCACATACCTAGGTTGTAGGTTTAAACCCTGGTCACAGCAAAAAAAAATAAAAATAAAAATAAAAAAAATAAATACAGTTGTTTTAGGGAAATATAGATCCCCAAATAGTAACAAGCAGGGGAACTTTAAGGTGTTACTATTGAAAAGTAAACCTTAAAAAAACACTGATTACCTCTAATCTCTGCACAGACCGCTATTTCCAAGCTGGCCAAGCAATCTCCTTATTCTCACCACATCTCATGAGCTGGTGATGCCTTAACCTAATATATAGGCATCATTTACTCTACAGAATTAGCGTCTCCTCATTACTTCTCTTGTTTATGGTCCAACATTCTCCCATTCACTTTGGCCTTGAAATCTTGGAATTTTGCAGGAATATAAAGTAATATTTTTGCTTTGTTTTTCGTTCTTATTACTGTAAAAAGACATTAAAAAGGTGTCTGCTCTTTTTGAGATTTTCACGGAAAATGATTACGATGGTCTACTTTTTGCAACTGCGAAGAAATAGTGTTAAAGCAAATTTTTGCTGTGCTGACCAGCCGCCTGATTGTACTCTCTGGCGCTTATCCAGAAAAACTACAGTTCCCGTCGTACATTGCGGCCCTCACTGTCCAAACTACATTTGCTTACGTCATATCCACCTTCACAGTCGGTGGATGCTGGACTTTGTAGTTTGTATCAACTTGCCGTGTTGGGAAGGGGAAAGCGTGGCCGAATCAACTGCTCTGCATCTGGTATTACGATATGGTTTTTAAATAAATTTTATGTTAACGTATCAAAGCTAATGTAGCTTCTGGTTTTTATGTACTTCACGTGCCGCCTTCCTCCTGCCGGGCCGGGAAGGGGAAGTGACGTACATCCGGTGTAATGGCGGCGCGGTGGAGTTTCAGGTAAATACCTAATTCCATAGACTCGTCACAGGCAGCGAGCCTGATGGTGGGTGGTGGGTTACTGGGCCGGGTGGGAAGTGAAACGGGGCTCAGGAGTGGGCGCGGGCTCGCTGGTACAGCCGTAGACGGCACAGGGATGCGCGTGGCTTTCTTCCCGCCGCGCGGTGGCCCGCGAGGCTGGGAGATGAAAACCGGTCGGGCGGAGGAGTCCGAGCGGATCTGGAAGGGCGGCCGTGAACTCCCTGTTCGCCTCCGCGGACGGGTGTAGCTTCCTAGTGAGGTTCTGCAATACCTTTGTTGCTGAAATCCAGCCCCAACACTGGTTCCCTTTACGGTGTGCTGTTTCGGTCGCCGATCACTTAGAGCCTCTCCTGTCTTTTGGGCTAGAGGCCCCTTTCTCTCGGGCCGCGGGACATGGGATTGGAATTAATGAACTGTATTTGATTAAAAAATGGTGCAAGATCCACTTCTGTGCTTCTCTCCGGCGTAATTTCCCTGTGACTGCTTCTCTGAAGTGTCAGTTTCTTTTTCATACAGTTGCCGTAAGTGAAGATTCTTCCTAGTGTTTAGTCTTGAGGACTCTTTGTTCCTCAGTATGTGTTTCTCTTCCTCTGTCATCCTTTATCCTTCCTTAAGTTGCTCAACCTCCAAAGTCGTGATAGCTCCCAAACTTGGCCCTCCAGTCACCAACTCTCCATTGAGCTCAGGATCCCACAATACACTTGCATATAATGGTAATATAATAGTTACTTTAACTGAGTCTAACTGCAACACCACTTTACCTATTTTCACTTATAATCCTTACAACAATTCTTTGAACTAATTGGAGAAGGAAAAAATTGGGAAAAGGGTATTCCACTTGCAAGACTTTGGTGACTAAAAGTGTGGTAAGAGTTCCTTTTGCATTTGTGGATGTCCAGATGAGAAATAGCACATAAACAAGCAAACTTGGGCTTCACAAGACCAGGTAGCCTGTTTCCTCTTTTAACTGTGTTTAGACTTGTCTTGTTTTAGGGGTGTTCTGTGAAGTGGACAGTTAACCTCGATTACCTTTCTACTATGGAAAAGCAGGTTTAGAATTAGCATTAAAAGTATGATTTTGACCAAAAGAAGCATTATTACAGGCGGGATCTCTATGTGGAGGAGAACTACTTACATCGGTGTTGTGTGATGGAGTAGTAAGCCCAAGATTTCAGCCTTGCTTCAGCATGTGTAAGTCTGTTGCTTGAGGCAGATTACCTAGCTAATGTCTTTTTTCTCAGCATCCTTATCTGAAAAATGTCGATAATGGTAATACCTACCTCAGTGGGTTATTTTGAGGATGAAGAAAAATAATGCATATATGGAGGGCCTTGTGCACAGTGAGTGCCGGGCATACAGTCTTAGCTCTAATATTGTTAGTATCACGATACAGTTGAATTCTCTTTCTGTCTCAGTTCCTGTTCTTTGGTTCTGAATGTTGCCTTTCCACTTTTATGTACCCATGTCGCTTTTTTAGAGCTTTTCCCCCGTCATTTGGCTCTGTCTCTGATATCCCAAGAATGTTAGCCCAGTGTTCTGAAAGCATGGTCTCCTGAATCAGCAGCATTAATATGTCCTTGGAACTTGTTAGTAATGTAAATTATTGGGTTTTCTCTGAGCTCTGTTGAATCAGAAACTGTAGAATGGAGGGCCCTTCATTCTCTTTTTCTTTTTACCAAACCATGTGATTCTCATGCCAGTTTGAAAGCCATTGTTCTAGCCCATCTAGGGATTGGTTAGGGTTCACCGCCATCCCCGGAATCAGGTTTGCTGCCTTCCATGCTTTAATGTATTTAGTCCATAGCCGGCCAGTTTGTCCGTGTTGTGCCACCCTTCCTTCCCCATTTAGGACAGTTTAGTTTCTGACACTTCCTAGACTACTTAACTGTCTTTCCTAAACCAGCTTTAGCTCTGTCAGTTTTCCCAGCTGCTGAATTCTTAGAGGTTAACTCCTCCCTTATGACTGTGCATTGCCAAGTGGTCTACAGTGGCTATTGTGCCTGAGACCACCTAAGAGTACACAGTGACACATTGTGTATTTATAACACCATGCCTTAATTTGAACATTATTCTCTGCTTATCACCTATATGTATTTAGTGTGAATTTTGTACTACTTGGTGTATCTTTAACTTGGTATAAGGCATGACTAGCCTAGAGCTAGTTTAAGCTGATCCCACTGATGACTTACAGCTTGTTGCATTTCTCCACTTTTCTGTTCAAGTCTGAGAATCCTAGCACGGGAGGGTGATGGAACAAAAAGATGTCTGGCATAGTAGTTTAAGCAAACTACCAGACTTACTAAACCTATAGCCTAAATATTTTATCTCAGTATATGCAGTTCCTAAGTGGACAATAGAAGAGACATTTCAATGCATACAAGGAAGTACAAACTTTCAAAGCATTTTCTTCAAAAATAATACATTGGAAGGAAGCAATGGGTTAAAGCAGACCTTTTCCATTTGTTGCCAAGCTAATAAATCTTTCCCAGTAAAGAAATGCCGAAAAGATACTATGGTCTGCCTTGGCCTGGGGACATATGGACCCCTGTCATACAGAATAGGTTAGCTAATGGGAAGGAGAGACCCTTGGAGATTTATGTTTAACTTGACTTGGAGCCTAACTCATAAATGGATTAGGTTAGACAGAGAACAGGTCTTCCACCTGAGAAGTTACCGTGAGTATCCTGTCCTGAATTAGTTTTACTGTGACAGCTTTTTAATCAGGACAGCTGGTGACAGGAGCCTCTGTAGTGGAACGTAGTGGTGGTGTGTGTCTAGGGACTGCTTCATAAATCTCTGGAGGCCACCACCTTCAAGTTTTCTTTAAAACTGAAAGTGTGGCTCTTGTATTAAATACTTAGAAAACCCACTTTCAGAGCCATGCTGTGGAAGAGCTGGCAGAACATAACCTAGCCCATACACTTGATTGGGCAGTCTGGGGAACGAAATCTTTGGGAGGGGGAATGAAGTTGTATGAATGTTTGAAGGCACAAGGCACACTCAGCAATGAGACTTGTTTCCGTAAGGTGAAGAAACAGCACCTTGAGCGTCCAGATCCCTCTCGCAGTGCCATCAGTGGAACTGGATGCCCTGCCCCTCCCCCCACCGTCTCCGTGGGGAGGTTTATTCAGGCTGCTCACCAGGTTAAGGTGGGGTGAAGACAAATAGGTGTTTGAAAACAAACACCTGATAGTGTTGTGTTGATGGAGTTTGATGACAGACAGCTTGGGGGTTCCTAGAAGTGGGGGTTGATAGGTGGGACAAGGCTGCTGGGGTATTCCTTGGTAAAGAAGTTGTCAGAATATCATTATAGAGAGTTCTGTGTAGGAAGAAAAAGAAATAATCACCAAAAGTCCACACGCCCTCTTTTACATTGAAGTTTAGAATTGGAACCTACTGAGTAGCAGACACTGTCTTGGGTTCTGGATATAAAACAATGACCAAGAACTTCAAGTATCCAGTGTTCTCATACAAGTTCTGTTATGCTTTAGCTTCATGAATCTCTCGTGTTCTATCTCATTTCTGCTTAATCCTATGTATGCACCCTGTACTCTACTCAAACAACTGTGAATCCCCTAAATTCTTTTATGTGTCTGAGTCTTTACACATTCTGATCTCATTTCCTTAGCGACCTTTTCCCCTTTTCCTACTTGTCCTCGAAGATTCAGGTTCCAGACCCAGGTCTAGACTTCTTTATGCCCCAGGCCCACTTACTTAGTTGCAGTTCCTCATTTTTTTCCTATTTGCCCTGGATAAAATTTTTTAATACCTCACAAAGGAGACTCTTCTGCACAAACACATATTTAACACAAAAATGAAAATGGAAACATTCAGTGGGTGATTAGAAGCATTAGGGCTATTTCTTAACCACAAGGCATATATTGAGTAAAGTGGTGAGGGTTATGGTATAGGTTTAAAATATAAGATTTTGTCTCTTCCTTGTTTGAAAATGGGTAGAAATTTGACTTGATCACTGGACCAAGAAAACCTATATAAATAATATTTGTTCAGTGAACGAGTTGCTGGGGCTAATCAGGAAACTTAAATCTTTTTGCCACGCAGTTGAGCTGTGAACCAAGGAATGTATGTGGAAAGTAAGGCAGGACAGGGTGGGTTTAGGAGGATTTAAAAGAGGGTTTAGCAGCAGTGGAGATGTCCCTTAGAACTTGTTTTTATTCAGTAACTAGAGGGACTGCTCCTGAAAAACTCTTCTATAAAAGCATAATACATGGAGTTAGGATTGCTGACACAGTAGACATTGAGACAAAATTTCCATTTTAAAAACTCAGAAGGAAATTTGGAAAGTATAGAATAATGTTGCCTATATTGTAATGGAATGTGCTTTTAATTTAAGGCCTGGGTTTCCTTGAGGGCAGTTTTGCAGACACCAAAAGGACTTTTTTGTCCTGCATGGGTATAATTCATTGGAGCCCTACCCATTAGTAGAATACATATATAATTTTTATTTTTTAGAGGCAATTTGCAAAAGTCCTTACAGCCTAGAGATAAGGAAGACCTTGTGAGAAATCTCGATAGAGGTCTCAAAGTCAATTTGCCTTCTAAAATGAAATGAAGGTTGTCTCATGGGGTCTTTTCTAAACAGAGGCTTCCACCTACATATTTCCTATGAAATGAGAAGGTAGAATCAATAGAATTTGGACACGGGCTGGGAGTGAGGAGAAGGAAGAGTCACTTCTAGCTTTATAGGTAATGTCTTAGAGGATGAGCTCGTTTGAGGAGAGGAAGAAATGATGAGTCCAGCTTGGACCTCCTTAGTTCAGAGGCAGCCATGTGAAGGTTTCCTATAGACTTTTGGATGTAAGGATTTGGAACTCTAGAGAAGATTGGGCTGGAGTGAGAGTCACTCTAATAAAGTTAGTTGAAGGTGTGGGGTAGAGGGAATGTGGAGAAAGGATAAGGACTGTTCATTGAACAAATTTGTATTGAGAGCTTTCTGTGTTGGGAATATGGCAGTGAAC